CAAAGGGCTAAGAGACGCCAAAGAGTATACTAGAATAAAGAAATTATTATTATAGTAGTAAGCTTCTGCGATAATTGACAGGAAATGGTTAAAAAGGAAAAGGTCTTAAATTTGAATCCATTTCAAACAACAAAAATGAAAAGAACGACATTAATTTGTTCAACATCAAGAAAGAAGAGCCCAAGAAGACACTTAAACACATGTGGACAATTTTTAAACGGCTTGCTCAAAACAAAATGATACACATGCAGACATGTACAGGGTACAAACAACAAAAAGCATTAAGTTCAAATTGACCACCAAGCTCTCATTGTCCTGAGAACCCAAAAAAAAAAAAAAAAATCAAAGCAGAGGCATCATATAGGCCTAATTATTTCATTTAAAAAATGGACAGTTGTGCTGAACAAAATGTAGAGACAATTTATATTTATAATACATGTACAGAGTTAGGATTGACTAGACGAGATGAAGGCGACCAGGAGAGCACTGTACTTATCATTATAGCGCAATATAGTTCTTCGTTATCTCTATAGGGCTCAAACTCATATTCCATTTCCTGGTTGCTGGTTAGTCTTGCATTTGCATGTTCGTCAAATGTTCCCATGACTTTCCCCTTTCATTTTTTTAATGTAGCAAAGCCATATGTACAGAGGAGTCATAGTACATAACTATGGCAAACAAAGTCAGTACAGTGGAGTCCACACATAACGAGTCCTGAAATAACGAGAAGTCTGTTATAAAGACACTATTCTAAAACCCCGTTTTTTCCCTTCTTTATCTTTGTAAATAAGATACTGCTATTGCACAATCAAACAGTCACGCGAGTCGGCTATTACGGAATATTGCTGCTGCTGTGCACAACGCACAGACCAATTAAACTTTAATTAAACATATTAAAACCTTGCCAGTTGAGAAAGCTGTTGGTGATCCAGCGAAACAAAGAATGGGCGAGCCCACGCGAACCAACAATGAAGGACGGAGCGAATGAGTGGGGAGGATGTGGCAAGCACAGACGACAAGCAGAACGCATCGCGTGATAGGCCAGCCCAGTCTAGATTAACTAGACATACCGAGCCTTTCACTTTTCTGGTGCGGGATGGATGGAGTGAATGTGTGACGTGCGCAAGCAGACGCAACGCACCACAGGGTGTGGTTGGGTGGGGGACAACACAGCCGGCGAGTTAGCCTAGAGCCAGAGCCCTTTCTTTCTGATCACCAACGCCGAGTCGTCAACACTGCTAATGCTAGAGAAAGAAACCAGATTCGATTTTTGATCAAGTGAGACCTAGAGAACATGTTGAACAAAATCATCATCAGGGGAACTGCAAAAGGGAATAAACAGAACACCAAACTCATAGATTAGGCCTACTTTACTATTTCCCTTGAATTTATTACTGGATCCCTTAAAACCAGAATCCTGCTGTAATGGACATTTCGTACAGGTCCCCTCCCTCTCGTTATAACAAGATTCCACTGTACTATGCTATGCAATGATTGATTTGCCCAAGCGTGTACATCATGTATAATTACAAATCCAACTCCTCACTTGATGTTTTCCCCCTTTTTTCAACAACTATGATTTCTTGGCTATTTCTTTTGCTTTTTGAAACTTTTTCTATATCTCAAATTCTATATTAAATTGTTTTGCACTTGAGAACAATACAACAAAACATTTAAATTAAAGTTAAAGTGAGAAAATGTAGAATCTCAAGTCCATCGGCTTCTGCCAGCACCCTGGGAAAACAGCATGACATGTCAAGTCGTACTGTATGTGTTATCAGTTGTTGTTTTTAAGAGAGGTTGAGATTTGCTGGAAGCAGAAATTATAATTTTTAGTAGCATAAAGAGGTTTGCACATAGTAACAGTAGGCCTGCCTGAATGTAAATTTTATGTTGAAGAAAAGCAAATAACAATAATTTAAACAATGGTCTTATGAGAGGGGAAAACAAGAGAATAGACAAAAGTAATGATAGAATAGACAGCAAGGGGGGATCTAAATGCTAATGAAACAAAATAAGAAAGGGGTAATTAATACTAATTATAGTGCTACTGAGAAAACAAAAATCATAATATGACAAGTATGAAAATGTTTGTAAGCAGAAAATAAAACACTAACAGTTTTAGCCTTCACTGACCATAAAAATAAATGGCTGTGAATGGCTGTATTGTATCTACAGGCAAAGCAAATGAAAAGTCTCTTTCTGCGGTTCCGTTAACCCTGAAATTCAGGACAAGCATTAAAAATTTGTTGGCAGTAAAAGAAAGGTCCTCATTAGTTAAATGTCCTTCACCCATATATCCATTTCAGTTATTTTAAGGCTGTAACATATAGGCCTTCCTCTAAATTTGGTTTGTCAAGGTTTTTTAAATATCATCACTTAAAATAAGCAGCCTTCCTGCAAAGACCTATATGCCTACTTTGTACTGATTCAGTCGAGTCTCACTAATAATTAAAATATTTTACTTGATGGAAGAGTAACAAACCATAACTCCTCCAAGTGTGTCCCTTTTTTCTTTTCATATATTTTTATACATGTGCATCATGGGTGTTTTTCTGCTACAGCACATAGTTACAACATAATATAAACAAATTCTAAGAAGTGGTAGTGCCCGTTGCAAGAAAGACATGCCAGCTAGGTTTTTCAAGCCCATCGCCAAAGCTATTCATGTCTTTGGCCAGTTAGCGCACCAAGTCCAACATAGTCAAAGTCTAAATAGAATCTACTGTGTGAAGATAACAACACGGATACTAGAAACCTGCTTTTGCACAGGATGGGTGTCCTGAGAGGGAGATTGATTGGAGAATTCAGCTCAATCCCTGCCACTGCTTATGTAGTGTAGAGATACCCTTCCCAAAGCATAAATGAACTTAGGGAACAGCAAAGCGTTACAATGGATGATACATGATGGCATTATGTTTTCTTCTCCACTGTTCAATTTTGTTTGGTTAAACTGTAGTAGCAGAAGTAATATATCAGCAGTGGATTGGGGTGGCTTTTCAGTTGCAGAGATATATTACTCCCTGCGAGATGATATATAAAGATTGTCATAACAAACTCAGGCTGGCCAACTTTTTCAAAACCCAATATTACAACATCTGATTAAGTATCATTCAGCGAACAAAGTTACAGAAAGGGGTATTGGTTTTTGTGTAGTGAATGTGATATAGCACAGCTTTCACATTCCCTACTGTTGAATCAGGGACAATCTCTGGAAATTTAGAACAGTTGGCAAGTCTGCAAGCATTATAAACATCTTTGTGAAAGGTAAGGTCTTTTGTTCCTTCTCCTAAAAATTACATATCCTGAATATTATTGCTTTGTCTCTTCATAAAGAATGCCCCAGTGAGAACTGCAGCGCAACACATTGAGGCTGGCCGCCAAAGATCAATCCAGTGATCTAGCATTAAATCTGAAAGTACAAGTCACCACAGGACATAATTTCTCAGCTCTCACTCTCAGTACTCTCAGTGTATCACACAGCAATACGGTAGTCTTCAAGTGTACTGTAGGAGGTTCCCTGTGCTGTTAAAGTACACTGTACATCCGGAAAAGTCTGTTGTGTGCTGTATCGATGCCCAAATGTCCAATTCTTGTTCTGTGAATGTCTTTAGTTAAAGTTTAATATTTATGTAACATCTCCAGAAATACTATTTGAAATAGTAACTATTTCTGTGAATTCAAGTCAAACTTTGATACCTGACACCTTCAGTGCTGATGTTGAGTAAATTTTGAATATATCATGGTAGGAGCAAAGCTAGCAGCAACATCTCCTCCATAGGGAAAGAAAAAAAGCAACCGCTTCAACCAAGACTCCGTCATACATCACTTCTTAAAACAGCATATGTCAGAGTCTAACACTAAACAGTCGATATTCTCATTGGGTTTATAAAGGATTGTACAGTACATATAATGCATTTTCTTCTTTCCATGACGCCTTTATTGATGTAATAGTTTAGTGCAAGAAGTGCTTGACTCAGTTTTAGAGCATTGGACATTTCGTACACTCAGTCAATAAATTCAATTTTATTATTGTTTTAACTTGCAGGAACATTCTTTTCTTTAATAAAATATGGAGATTGGGGTTTCATTTCCGCTCCATTTTTTAATTTTACGCTATTGTCCACTCATTCTTAGGCTCTTGTTTGATCAAGAAAGGATGTATACATTTGGAAGTGATCTTACATTATTTTCAAAAGGCTCCAAGCGTCTGAAACTCGGGCAACTTAAAAAACGGAGAGTGGGCTGCATTTTCAGCGGTACACGTACATTGTATGATAAGTTGGCTGAATTTCTTCCTTCAGGTTACTTTAATTAGATTGATTAATATTCATACATTAATAAATGACATCACGTGTCATTCTCATTTGCATTAAAATTTAATACCATATCCACTGTAAGATAGTTTCTATAAAGTCATAAAGAATGAGACAAAAATATTCCCACTCAGTTGACTCAGTCCAGGCTCTGCTTCATCCCTGTCTCATTTAACTCAGAAGATTGTTCAGTCTGAGAAAATCTGCCATACCTCAAAATCTAGAAGTGAATTTGATATTCTTAAAATTAATTTTGTGACAACAAACTGTTTGCTCTAATGCCAGAGCATTTGACGTCCGTGGTACAATAAATTTAACCTGATGAGCATTGGCCTGGAATTCAGATTTTTCTAAGATTAAGAAGACATTTGCAGTCAGCTTCAATAGATGTAGTAAACATGCATTTCGCGATCAGACTACAATGTAGAAGGAGTCAATGTTGTCTGTGTGGGTGTGGCCAATCACAAGTCGCCACGATAATATATATAAGGAAAGCCGGTTCGCTCCAGTGACTGCCGCTTGTGCGCCGGCACCAAACCCATCCTACACCAGTCTCATTCAGATCAAGCTGAGACAACAAGATCTGTAGCATTACACAAGACAGACTAAGCTTTCAGGCTGGCAAATCAACAGTAAAACAAACATGGAAAGAACAATTGAATAAATGCTACTCTGACCCAATGGAACAATTTGATGGACATGTATTTATTGGATCCCTCTTAGCAATATGAAAACAAGGCAACAAAAGACATGGCTTGCCCCACACGATCCCAAACATTTACTACCATAAATACCATTGAGACAGACACACACACACACATGCAAGGCATACATTCTCTGCCCATCCCATTCAATAAACACAAAAAGTAAAATTGAGGCATCACTCAAAACATCTATGCATAATACTACCAAAGACGATTCGCTATTTGAGCAGGCCCTGAACAGGCCACAGTTCAACAAACATAATTCCTGGCAGAGAACTTGTTCATGACACAAACTGACACACTCCTCCAAAATACAGCTTGCCTTCTGAGCAACACAATTTGGGGTAGTCAAATTGCGGAAAGGGAGAAAAACAACAACCAAAAACAATAAAAACCATGACAGCCGTCTGCATTTCTATCCTTTCACCACTTCTTCCATTCCAAATGTATACTGTGCACCAAATTACAAAAGCTCCCAAGTCAGTACAACAGACAATTCTCTAGCACTTTACAGTCACACATCCAAGACACAATAAAATTATTTACACGAAGAACATGTATTCTGAAAGGCCTCTAGAAAAGTTTCATAAAGCCGAGTGCATTTTGGCCTACGACATACAGTATATGTACAAAATTGCTGACAATGCATAAATATATAGTTTTTTTTATAAAATAATGAGGGAAAGAGGGACGGTGGAGAGAAAAACACAGCCCAACTCACACTTCCAAACACAACAGTACTACAACATGCCTTAGCCACGCATACATTTCTCAAAAATATACTGAACAGCTTCCAATCACATAAGTAAACTCAAGAACTTATGAACTCTGTAATGCCCTTTACACATACTTCAGGTGAGGATAAGAGAATAAGATAACAGTATAGAGTACTGAGAGAGAATAACAAGAATGAAAGAAAAGAGCTATCCTTTTGTAAGGACCATGTCTATAACTATGAACCGATAAATAGATTGTATCAGTTAAACAAGACACCAAGTCTGAAATGTTACAGCATGTCTTCTAGGAATCAAATGCCATATACTTCTTTGATTTGAAAAAGCCTCGATTTTTTTATTAAAAGAAAAAATTGAGTAGTGTCGATGCGCCAACGAGCATGCCCAAGAAAAGATAACACACCATAATTTGATGACTACCATAGCTGGGTTATGCTATACCCTACAAGCAGTGCTTCCACCAGCTGAAGCTGAAAAGTAAGGAAAATTCTGCAGGGGGTCTGGGGGCCGCATCCCTAGCAGGGTCCAGGGACAGCATTCCGTTCGGGGTTCAGGGGGCGAAACCCCCGCAGAAATGGAAAGTTAGTGCTTTTAGAGGGTTGAAAATGGCATTTGGGAGCCTGTTTGAAAAGATTGCCCACAAACCATAACATTTATTTTTTCACCAACATTTTGTCTTTTTTTATTTCTTCACCAAGATCTACACAATATATTTCCATAGATGGCAATGTTTAAAAGCAGTTTTCCCTTCCATTGCTACGATAAGGTAATTCGATTAATTAGGCACCGCACCATTGATAGAAGGCAAACCTGGGAATAATGAATATATATGTACCTTCACAATACAGTTACCTGGCGTATACCCTAATCTTCCTTAAATTTCACGTCTGAATTTCACAACCTCGGAACACCACTTTGAATTATTCTTGATTTTAGTAGTTTTAGCATAAATTTCTTTCATAGCGGCCCTATCGCGTTCCCGTGGCGTATAATCTTTGTATCGACTATTTCTCTAGATCTAGACAAATTTGTAAAAAAGTTTCTTTCTAACAGCATGTTTCTGTCTAAAATCACAAGTCAATTTACTTGATAAACGCGCAGATTTTTCAGCCTCGTAAAAAATCTGAAGATAGACAGACGGAAGGAGTGAATGATAGAAAGGAGGAAATTGGCACAAAAAGTTCGCCACATTTTGATCAATCCACAGGTAAAAACGTATTGCCGACCAACCCGCAGTAAATGCATGGGGCACAGCAGAATAATGGCCAATTGCAGGAAATGCGCAATCTGGCTGGTTTCTATAACATTAACTTACTGCCGAGAGAATTACTGTAAATATCCGTAACTTATACTAGTACTAGACGATACGACAACGAGTACGGAACTTTTGCTACGGAATTTCGGTAGTCCTATGCTGTCGCAGCTTTTTACGGAGGGAGTTGATAATGGAGGAACAATTAGTACGGAACTGGCAGAAAGTACGGATTTCCGTAAAAATACGGAAGAGTGGAAGCACTGTACAAGGAAAAGAACAATCCAGCTGAAGAATGCCGTTGCATCCGTTCAAGTATTTAATATCCAACTAAAGTTTTAGACAGTGCAGGTGTGTTCTTTTTTATTTACTCCAGCTCAATGGAGAGAGAAAGAGAAATTTTGCTCAGAATCAACTTGGTACTAAAAAATACCCGGTTTAGCTTCAGAAATAGTGAGTAGAATACCTTTTCAATAATTCAAATTCCAACCACTCGCTCAACTGTTCTTCTATGAGGGAACACATTGTATTGATTAGTCAAAAAGCAAAAAGTAGGGTTGACAATTTAATAAAATATGACGTAGGATAAAACAGGAACACAGTATATTTGCTCTTTATTCTACAATCTTTTTCAAACATTTTATTCCTAATGGGTCATAAATTCTGAAAACTATGCCAGCTCCACTAAAATAGACAAATTGGTTTGATAATCCAATCTATCAATAACTATGTACCCAAAGCTTTCCATGCACAAAAATCAACCGTATATGAAAAGAAACGTAACACATTAGAAAGAAAAGTTTAAAAGGAAAAAAGAAAACATTTAGCAAAAGTCAGTTGTGCTGGAAATAAAATGATTTTTAAAAACATTCAACCCTTATTCTAGTCAAACTGAATAATGACATCTTGTGAAAGTATTTCAAGACCAGGATATAATATATTTATGTTTTTAAAAAAAATAATACATAGCCACAATTAACTATAGTCAGTACTGCAGTAAAAATCATTTTGCTCCTACCACATTATCAGATGTATTGTGAACAGAGGTCTTTGGCAGCAGAATTGCATAGCAAGTTTATATGAGGGTTTTTATTTTGAACTGCCTGTGTAACATAGTCTTTGCACAGGAGGCAGATGTTATTCCTTTTCTTCTCCTTCAACTACAGTCAATTCAGATATAACCATCACTATACAATACTTTTCAATTTGTGGAAACAGAAGAAGAAAATTCAAGCTTGTGCAATCTCTAAACAAGTGGAATAGAACAATTTCAGTTTTTTAAAAGACAAGAGAAGAAAGAGGAGAAGTGGCCATACTTCGAGGAAACAACATCACAATATTCTCAAAATCATCGTTGTAGGATTCTAAACAGCTTACTCCCTAAAATGCAGTTTTTTGTGTGTTTTTTTCTCTCTGAATTCAGACACACATCACACAATGCATCCTATAAATAACTTACAGCCACATTAACATATCCAAATAGTCACTACAATGTTGGATTTTTAACAGCTAAAATGTATATATATAACAGCCTCGCTTAGTTTTTTTCACTCCACTGTAAAATTTACAGAAACTGAGTTAGCCGTTTAGAATCCTACAGTGATAAAATGTACCCACAGGACTACATTAGAGCTATGTTTCATTTATTTGTACATTCGAACCTCACACGTAACAATTCATCCATTATGACTCACTCCATTTCCACCCATCAGAAGATCACAGAAATCAGAGAAATAAAATATAGCAAGCAAACAGAATCACTTCCCAACAGTTGTGGCATGTTGTCATTCCTCCCTTCAGAGTCATTCTCCTACACCTAGCGCAAGTCACAGTCATCATAAACTCTCGTCACTTTCAATGGCCTGCAGGTTGGGGGCATCCATCAGGAAGAGATTTGCTTCGTCCTGATTGGCTGACTCATCTCCCTCTGCCTCTGCTCCTGCGTCTGCCTCAGCTGATGCCACTGCTCCAGCTCCTTCCCCTTCCAAGGCTAAAAAGACGCATACACCGAGCACAAGTTAGTACAGCTATGGCAACAGGCAATATCTTGAAATGGTGGTATCTTTCATTTCAAAGTCAGTTTAAATAAAAGTTTTACTGCACTTGTAACACATTTGGATCATTTACATGCCCAAGATAAGAGGCGTTACAAGAGAGTAAAAGTAAAGTAAAGTTGTTCCCGCACCCAATCCAGACATTGGAGATTGCCTTTTTAGTGAGACAACTCCCTAGGCCTCGGCATACTGTGGTAGGGCAGCCAGTTCCTTTCCACGCCGCCTTTACTTCCCCAATTCGAAGTCAGGTACCCGAGACTCGAGCCCGGACTTTTTGAAAGAGAGCAACAAACAAAAAAAGAGGAGGAGAGATACGGACAGTAGCTGTTAATAGGAAAGAAGGAACAAATCTCATCAGAGCACCCACCAACCACCCGCTTCTATTTAAAAGCACCCACAGATCTAGCTTCAACAACATTCACAATGAGAGACATGTGAAACAAGTATATGTAGACCAGTGAACAGAATTTGAATACAGACACAAGCCCTTATGTATCAGGGCAAAATACAAATTTCCAAGCTCAATAGACACAGAGCTTCAAAGACAATAGACACAGTGCAGCCTCTAGCTATTGATGTTTTGAATCCATTACCAAGAAATCACACTGAAAACTCAGTTGCATAAATCAAAATGAAAGTTGTACACATAGATTCAGTCTTAGGGTACGAACACGGTGACACAGACAGACAGGGACAGTTACTTGCTGTCGCACAGGGACAGACAGGCACAGGGAAATGTGGTCACATTCAAACAGGCAGCAAGAGACAGCAACATTGTCAATCACATAGCTGCCACTCAGAAATTTTTAAAAAGGAGGAAATTCACGCGAAAGCGTACGCGCGCTCTCCGAAACCAGTGAAATCCAGAGGCAATATATACTGGAAAATCTAGCCTACGGTTTTGGACGGGAAAACTGTCATATTGTTAACCATAGGCAACTGAATTAAAATGTATTTGAAAAAAACAACAACAAAAAAAACAACAACAAAAAAAACAACATAAAGGCAGTAAGTTGACTAACAAGAATTCGAGTCAATTTGACACAGTTTGGACTTGGTGACAAAAAAATCTAGTGTTTTTTGCCAGCTGGTGTCTCATAAAAAGATTTCTTTCACTTTAAACGTGTACATACATAGACGTAGAGCAGTATCGGATCAAGGATACACAGGCACTCCTGTACAATTGCGGTCCAGTTTGCACTTAGTGCCCCTGTAGTGTGTTTCTTATTTAGAGATAAACTGAATTAAAATTATAGCCTAGGCTACCTAATCTAGATCTAGAAATATCTAAATATGTGTAGATCTAGATTATATCTAGAGATAGATTTTCTAGATCTAAATCTAGATTCACTTCCGCAGCAGCCACAATAGCCGTCATGTAAACAAACGGGAGACCGCAATTGTACAGGACTGTAACTGTAACAGGAGTGCCGCGGGCCGCGATTTCTTTCGCAAAAAAACAGCTAGTTCAATTTTCTAATGAACTTTTCAAGTCGCACACCGGCTGCTTCTTTCTCATTCCAGCTCCTTTTATTTTTGCATTCTGAATCAATTTCTCTCGAATTTCCGCCAATTTCAATGACAACTCGGCGCGCTAACGTCCCGATGCCCGATCGACACTGTGTTGCTCCACAACAATAAACAATGTGAAACTAGCGCTGGGCCTAGAAGAACGGAAGTAGAAAGCTACGGGCGGACATGCGCAGACCGCGTTTTCGTCTCTCTCCCGGTTCGGTGTTTTCCGCGTGGAAAAAAAGTATGAAATTTGCGACCAAGAGCGGTCCAGCGGAGGAAGGAGGAAAGTTGCGGGGAAAGCTAGATGTAGCGGAGTTTCCGCTATTTAGCGGGAAAGTGGCAGCTATGCAATCATGGCGCTGACAAAGAAGAAGAAACTCTTATTATTATTGTGGTTACGAAGGAAATTAAGACGTTCACAAATTTCTCATCGAAGATATGCGGTTCATCCTATTATCAAAAAACGCTTTTCGTTAGGTGAATATCACCATCTCCTCCCACAGCTTGTGAATGATGAGGAAAAATTCATTGAATATTTTCGAATGCAGCCTTCAACATTCAGAAATCTTCTAGACCTGTTTGAGGAAGATTTGACAAAGATGGCAACAAATTTCCAGACACCCATTTCCGTTGTGATGTTTTTCACTTTTGTCATAAATTGCTGGCCTTTCTTGCACCGCAATGATCAGTTTCTCTTCAAAATCCTCCATCTTGACAAGAACATTCACTGTAATCGTATCTTTATTTAACTCCCTTGAAACAGACAGACAGGAGAAGTAGTGCACGCACTTTTCGAATTTTCCTACTGTCGCTGGCTGTTGCTGTCTGTGCCTGTCCGTGTTCAACATAGCCGGGTTGGTGTGTTTTAAAAGAAATTATGGGCAGTTTTGGCGTGCACGCTTTTAGATGTGTTGCTGTGACAGCAACTGACTGTCCCTGTCCGTGTCCCTAGCCTGAAAGTAACAATCCCAGAAACCGCCAGAGCGTGCTCATCACCACAGATACAAAATCTCCAGTCAGCTTTAACCCTTTCCTATTCAATATGGTTGAAACCGACCAGCAAAAAAATATAGCACTAGCTGTGCTAAAGTTTAGCCCTGCTTTTGAACTCTAGCAATGTATTTTTTTACCAGCTGGATTTGGCCATGATAAAAATTGGGGAGACTAAGAGTCATTCTTGGCCTAGGGGTCAACTCTGTTGAAATTTATTATTTCTCATCACCTCTCCATTGTACTTGATGAGACTTGTGCCATTCTCACATCCATCAAACCTAAACGACAAGTCTATTAACAAGATTCCCATACAACCCTATCTTACACCCACTCTAATCACCCCTAATCCATGACCAGTTCGTAACCCTCTGTGTGCCTATCATGACCGGTCCCGATGACTCATACTTCCCTTCCGCGTGCTGGTCGCGATCCGACATGAGCGTAGAAATTATGCCGCTGACATGAGAATAGCCATTTTTTAAACTGCTGGTGACTATAGTCCATCGTTTTTAGTGCCGCTGGCCACGCATTTCGCAGTCTGGGATAGGTTTGGAGTTTTTTATCGGCAATTTTCTGGGATATTGTTTACAATTTTCAAAATGTCAGATTCGTCAGCTAATTTACACACAGATCTACCCAACATTTTTCTATTCTTCAACTCTTCTTTCTCCCTTCCAACACAGCTCAACACAATTCCCTGCTTACCAGCATCTTGTTCCAGTCTAGCCAGAGGGTCATCGTCCTCTGTGACATAGCGTTTGTCCACCGCCACCTTGATCTGATTGTTCAGACCCTTGGGGTCGAGGTCATTGGCCCAAGAGAAGTTCATCATGGCCAAATGCGTGTTGCCCAACTTCTTGTGCACCTGAGGGCATCATAAAATTTTGAGGGCATCACAAAAAAAAAAAGCAAGCACCATGGCAACCCTGATACCCCTTAATCTCAATCTTGTTGATCAGTTGAGTTTTATGGAGAGCCTGCACAACAATGGGCACCTTTCACTATGAACAAAAACAAAACAAAACAAAATACTGGTTTAAGACCCCTTCCAACACACAGGACATCAGAATTTAACATCCCATTTCCTACTAGACTGAGGCAAATGGGAAAATTTGTGTAAAATTCCTTTCCAGCCTCAAACGCAATCTCACGATTACACACCCTGTACCCTAATCACTAGACCACCGACGCCACCCCAGGAACACACAAGTAGAACCAAATCAAAGACATAGCCAACCATATGTGGGTGCCCATTACCCATTCACCCTAACATAAGAACGAGCGTGCACTGAACTTTTCACTTTAATGAAAGAAATATGTGCAATGACAGAGAATTATACCGCTGGAAAAGTAGCCGCAACTTTACTTTACTTTTTCGATCCAGCAGCCATTTGAGTACTATCGGCCTGTCGATATGGCAAAGAATTTACAGGTTTTTATCAGCTGTGTTTTGTCGTTGTATAGAGTATTTCCGATGTCTGGGGAGGCAGGTAGGCAGGTACTACGCAGGTCGCTAAGTGCACGGCAGGTAAAGAAGTGGTGTGATACTGTTTCACCCTGGCAGTCGGGTGGGGTATCCTTGCGGATCCTATTTAGATAGGAATTAATTGGGATATGTTGTGTTCGCAGACGAAAGATAGTGACTTGTTCTCTTCTACACAGGGAGTTTAGTGCATCTTTTGAGTTGGGAGCAGTCATGTGTGCAAATACAGTTCTTCCAGTTTTGCCCATCGCCCATCCATTCAGCCAATGTTCCCTGGTGTCGCATTTGATGATGTTCTTGACTGTCTGATTTGATATGGATTTTTTAGGTTGTGTTTGTGATGCTCCCTTCTTGGCAAAGGTGTCTGCTCTGTCATTTCCTGGGATGTTGCTGTGGCCAGGTATCTATTGTAAAGTCAGGTCGATGGCATATATCTGTAAGAAGGTGTTGATTGTTTCAACCACAGATATGCAGGCTGGGCTTTCGCAATTCATGTTTTTCAAAGCTTGGAATACTGATTTTCCGTACAAGAAGTACCACAAGCATCAAATAGTTCTGCACGTTTTTGCCAGAACGTTCTATTCTTACCCCAAAGCCTGCATTAATAGTTCCCTTGAAGGCTGACCCATCTGTGTAAATATGAATTGAACCACTAGGGTAGGAGTCAATTGTCTTGAGAGCTGTTGTCTTTAGTTCTACTGGGTCGCATCCCCTTTTCACAGTCTCCTTTATGAGGGAAGTTTTGATGTTGGCGTTCTTGACGTTAGTGTTTGGGGGGAGTTTTGGTCTAAAAGGTTTCAGCATTTCTCTGTTACATGGAAGATGGTGTTTTTCTACTAGTTCAGAGGCTGTGCCGAGTATTGATCTTCCTTGAAATCATTTCTTTGGTCGTCTCTGTTTGATTATTCTTCTTTTCGGGTGGTATTTCTCTATTCTTTTGTAGAGCTCACTCATCTCCACACCTGTTGCCCCTCTCCCCAAGTCCAAGGATTCCAGGTTCGTATGGATTTCGCAAGCTGCATTTGGAGTGGATCTCAAAGCTCCGGAGATAAATCGTACATAGACCTGCATGTGAGCCTCAACCAGATTGTCTGAAAATTTTGCGCACCCCCCCCAAGAGCTTTTGTGGGTGTCATAAGGAAGGACTTCTGAGTAACGAGCGACCACCCCAACAAACACAACAAAGAAGAGACCTAACCCTACCCCTACCCCAAAAAAGAACCCGCAACGAGCCTCATGTGAAAAGGCCAGCTAAAGTCCAAAATGAAAAACATTTTTAAAATTAAAAAACCACACTCCAAAACAAACAAGGCTTACAAGGAGCATAATGGCCTACATCTACATATTGCTAGATCTATAATAATAGGGTTTGATACAATAACACAATAGATTCTAGAATTGGAATATGAATCCTCCATATAGATCTAGATTCTAGTAAACTAAATAAATCTAGATCTAGCTAGATCTAGATCTTGTAGAACAAGTGAATAGGATCTAGATCTAGGAATAGGCCTTGAACTAGAAATCCGCATCCGATTCCGAACAGAGGGGCTCAGCTGAGTCTAGACTTGGTTTAAGTTTAGATCTAGATTCTAAATAAATAAATAATTCACGCACCTGATGAAATGCCTTTTACCAACATTAATATTACAGCACAACCTATGATAGGGTTTGACAAAATAGAATTGGAATATGAATCCTCCATTGAGGTCTATAATGATCTATATAAATCTAGATCTAGATCTAGAACTCTAGATTCTATTATCAAAGTGAGTCGGACTGGAATGAATCTACACGATCTGAACAATTGAATTTGTCAACAAAACGAAATTCAAAATGGCCGCTCGAGCACGAAACTGAAAGTAGATCATTTAGGTCGTCGTCCTTTTTCGTATTTGCATTTCTACTCAGGTTCCGACAATTATGTCGGAAACGCCGACGTCGGCAGTCGGCACGAAAAAGCCGACAAAGCCGACGGGAGAAAAGGGGGACGCTGGCAGTCGGCCAGGCCTCGCACATTGACTGATACAGGTGGGCCTAGCGATAGCATCGGCCGCCTCACGGGTCGCGTCGCAATTGTCGGATTTCAGACGATTGTCGGCAAACATACAGCTTGGTTCTGGATTTTGTCAAGAGACCTCAGAGTTGGTTTGCTGCAGATTGTCTGTAGGATTAGGTTATATTCCATGGCAGAGCTGACATAGCCAACATATAGCTGTCTCAGTGCATCCTTGTCCACTCCCCATGAAGGGATAGCCAGTCATCTGAGAAGGTTAAGTCTCTTGTTGGCCTTAGTCTTCAGGTACCAGATACGATTTTTGAATGAAAACTGCTTTCCAGCTCGATCCCAAGGTAGGTCGGGTTTTCAACATTTTCGAATTTGTTTCCTGCAAGTGAGATGGTGAGATTTTGCTTTGGGACTTTTTGTAAAGGCAGTGTAGATTGTCTTGGTACAATTTGCTTTTAGTTTCCACTGGCAGCAGTAGTAGTTGAATCTATCTAGGTCCTCAGTTATAAGTCGTGCACTGAAGCCAGCTTGTTTACTTGAATGCCAGATGGCTAGATCATAGGCATATAAGGCCTTCTCCAATTTCAGTACCTCAGGAAGGTCGTTGAAGAAAACAAGGAAGAGTGTGCAGCTCAGAAAGGAACCCTGGGTAATGCCCTCCTCCAGAACAGCTTTCGATGATACACCATTGTTAATCCTGGTCTGGATTGTCCTGTCTGTAAGGAAGGTCTTCACCCATCTGTAGAGTTACCCGTGGATTCCTGTCTGTGTCATCTTATACAGGAGACCGTTTCTCCATACCCTATCATAAGCTTGCAGGACATCAACGAATACTGCAACTGTATGCTTCTTTTCCTAAAAGCCATCAAGGACTCTTTGACTGAGCCTGAAGAGCTGGTCATCTGTTCGCTGGCCGCACAAAATCCTGCTTGGTTGCTGTCCAAGGCACCTGTTGTTTCCAACCACCAGTATAGGCGGTGGTAGACCATCCTCTCTGCTAGTTTCCCGATGCATGAGGTGAGTGAAATGGGTCGATAGCTTTTCATTTCTTCAGCAGGTTTTACTTTCTTGAGAATGGGAGTGACGACAGCATTTCTTCATGCTCTGGTGATGGTGTTTTCATTCCATGTCTTGTTGATCAGCTGGAGAATATAACCCTTACCAACGGAACTGAGGTTGACAAGCATTTCATTGTTGATCTTATAGGGTCCTGGGGATTTGCGGGGCTTCAATTTCTTCATTGCCAAGTAGCTGCAACAAAACTTTATCTCTACACCCATTCAACAACACGGCAACAAGACTTTAAAAAATGTTTTCAGTAAGTTACAAATGTAATTTGGCAGTACAATCATTTCTGAAAGGTTGTTTCTCTCACCTTGCCCATGAGAAAGTAGACGAGAGATTCTCTTGGAATGATCTGCTTCAAGGTCTCCAATTCCTCCAAAGCCTCCTGGTAAAGACAAGGTGAAAACAATTATTTCTGGCACAAAGATATGTCTTGCACAATGGCGAGTTGTTATTCGATCCTTTCAGAGCATACACCAACAGTAGAGAAATCCAGTGGATCATAACCATTACAGAGACCTCTTTTTTCCTCGGCAAGTTACTGAATTAAAAAACACTATTACAAATGCCAACTAGCTATAAAAGAAATAATAAATTCTTGAACCTTTCTGACCTTGTGGAAATGAATGCGCCAGTACTCAATACTTACAGATTATACTGTCTTATGCATCTTTAATTAAGACTCTCGATATAAAGTATAAAGTGTGACATGACATGCAAAACGAGATTATACATAAATATATCGGCAACAACAGACCAAAAAAAATCCTAAACTTCTTACACTTTGTCCGCACCGCATTTCTAGATTTATCTGGGAAATCGACACCTCCCAAATAAATTTCACCACTAAATTGCCTGTACCCTCCACCCTGTTATGTTCTCCATACAATTTAAAACACATAGCTGCCACTTAGGAATTTCAAAAAAGGAGGAAATTCATGCGAAGGCGGATGCGCGCTCTCCGAAGGCTGGAGTAAAACCAGTGAGATCCAGAGGCAATATATACTGGAAAATCTAGCCTATGGTTTTGGAAGGGAAAACTGTCATATTTGTTAACCATAGGCAACTGAATTAAAATGTATTTGAAAAAAAAAAAAAACAACAACAAAAAAACAAAGGCACTAAGTAGCAGGGTTGGGTTGATTTAAATCAGTTGATTTTAAAAATTTAAATCAACTTGATTTTTTAAATAAAAATCAGTGATTTAAATCACTTTTTAAAAAAAATTTATTTTTATTCAGTTTTTACACATTTCAACATTCAGAATTCCTTTCCTTGGTTTCATAAAACAGATATAAGGTTTAGTAGACTAATATAATCATGCTTAAAAGCAGGGTTGGGTTGATTTAAATCAGTTGATTTTTTAAATTTAAATCAACTTGATTTTTAAAATAAAAATCAGTGACATAAATCACTTTTAAAATTTTTTATTTTTATTCAGTTTTTACACATTTCAACATTCAGAATTCCTTTCATTGGTTTCATAAAACAGATATAAGGTTTAGTAGACTAATATAATCATGCTTAAAAGTCTGCTTTCCCTCCTTTCACTGTAAAATAATACAGTATTCAATTTACTTTTTTTTCATAATTGAAATCAGAGCTGGTTTGATTTAAATCAGTTGATTTTTTAAATTTTAATCAACTTGATTTTTAAAATAAAAATCAGTGATTTAAATCACTTTTCAAAAATGTATTCAGCTTTTACATATTTAAACATTCAGATTTCCTTTCCTTGGTTTTATTAAACAGATATATAAGGTTTAGTAGACTAATATAATCATGCTTAAAAGTCTGCTTTCCCCCCTGTCACTGCAAAATAATACAGTTCTCAATTTACTTTTTTTTCATAATTGAAAATCAGGGTTGGGTTGATTTAAATCAGGTCGATTTAAATCAGTTGATTTTGTTTTATTTAAATCAACTTGATTTAAAAAATAAAACTCAGTGATTTAAATCACTTTTAAAAAATGTATTCTGTTTTTATATCTTTAAACATTCAGAATTCCTTTCCTTGGTTTTATAAAACAGATATAAGGTTTAGTAGACTAAAATAATCATGCTTAAAAGTCTGCTTTCACCCCTGTCACTGTAAGTAGTAAAATAATTACTGTATTCAATTTACTTTTTTTTCATAAATGAAATTAGCTTTTTCTTTTTCTTTTTATACAAACACAAGCGCGCGCGCGCACACACACACACTGTAATAAAATGCAAGTTTATCTATGCATAATTACCCCCCCCCCCCCCCCCCCTTCCTTTTAGACTGACATTTTCTTCATTTTTTGTCTGTAGCCATAATTCACTGGATATAGCAGATTAAGGCTTTCTAAAATTGCAGTTACTTAAATTAATCATTAGTTAAAATAAAGACAATGCATTTTGCACTAAAAGAACTTACTTTTAGCCACCAAAAATCCCAAACTGAGTCGGCATTTTTTTAAAAATAAAAAAAATCCGATTTAAATAAAAAAAATCTGATTTAAATTTAAAAAATCGATTTTTTTTATTTTTATTTAAAAAATCACCAACCCTGCTAAGTAGACTAACAAGCATTTGTTGAGTCAATTTGTCACAGTTTGGACTTGGTGACTAAAAATCCAGTGTTTGTTGCAAGCTGGTGTCTTATAAAAAGATTTCTTTCACTTTAAACGTGTAGATCTACATCGATGTAGAGCGCGCGCAGTATTGGACGCAAAGTGCAGCAAGCTGAGCTCCTTTTATTTTTGCATTCTGCATCAATTTCTCTCGAATTTCCGCCGTTTTCAATGACAACTCGGCGCGCTAACGTCCCGATGTCCGATCGACACTGTGTTGCTCCACAATAAACAGAGTGAAACTAGCGCTAGGCTTAAGCTGACATTCCATATGCCCGAAAAACCGATGTGAACTTCGGGTGCGAATTTCGCTTGCGAATTATTTTTTTCGCACAACGTTTTTGTCATTGCGTGAATCCATATACCGGAATTTCGCATGGCCGAGTCCGAAATTCGCATGCGAAGATTTTGTTTCGCACGAGGGAGCGAAACTTTTTTCTTCGCATGCGAATTCTTCGTGAAGTGGGTGGGGCTTATTTCCCGCCAAATCTACTTCAAAGGAACGAAGCAGCATAGAAGCACTAGGTTAGTGGGGAAAACGTCGAAATGTTGGTTTCCTTAGTTCGAGAGAGAAGTGTTAAAACCAAGACTGAAAAGAAGTGTTTATTTTCAAGGTGGCTGTCATTTGCATGGCAACCACTTTTTTTTTTTAGTTTGTGGGAAACTTTCGGGAGTCTATGTAATCTATCTATGCTATCATTTATCGTTTAAATCATGTAATAACTAAAAATAGCATTTCACTTACACCCCCCCCCCTCCTTAATTAAATGCACTTGAATATAACTTCTAACATACATTAATTATAACTTAAGATTGCTGTCTGTGTCGCAGCCACATCAGCCAGCGCTGTCGGTGATAGGACCGAAGCTTTGAAAAGAAAACGACCCAAGAAAGCAAAGCTTATGAAGGAAAGACCATCATCAAGTCTGGACAAAGCAATTTAAAGCCTGCTTTCGTAGGAACAGGAGTTCTAACAGCAAAATTCTCTTGTTTTCAACGTAGAGTGCTTGCTCTGACTGAACTGGTGCCGTGATTTCAGTCAGATGACGGATGCGAATTTCGCGTATATGGAAGGAGGGCTCTTTTTTCATCGCACCCGAATTTCATACACGAAATTCGCATCGGTTTTTCGGGCATATGGAATGTCAGCTTTAGAAGAACGAAAGTACAAAGCTACGGGCGGACATGCGCAAGCTGCGTTTTCGTCTCTCTCCCGGTTCGGTGTTTTCCGTGTGTAAAAAAGTATCGCAATTTGCGACTGAGCGCGGTCCAGCGGAGGAAGAAGGAAAGTAGCGGGAAAAGCTAGATGAAGCGGAGTTTCCCCTATTTAGCGGGAAAGTGGCAGCTATGAAAATAAAAAAAGAAACAAAAAAAAAACCCACCCGAAAGAGAACCATCTTAGCAAGTCCATTCTGAATCCGTCAAGTATTTAAAAATAAACACAGCCAAAAGGCCAGAACTTACTATGTGTTTATCACTGGCAAAGAGGATAGAGGCCCTGTGGAACATGCACAGCGAGTTCTTTGGATCTGATTTGATGGCTGTGCTCAGAGTGTGCAAAGCTTGCTCTGTCTTCTGCTGTGCATGCTGTGCCTGAGAACCACACAAAATCACTCATTGGGATATATTACTCATGAAATTGAAATAAACAGATGTGTAACAATGTTCACAGCTACTTTACCATAATAAAAAGAAAGACAATCGGAACAGTATAAATTAAAAAATACAAATGAAAGAATGTACAGGCTCAAAGAAGCATGTACCCTCCAACCTCACTGCATGAAACCCAGTCATCCCCTTGCAATTCCAATTGATGAATAATTAATATGAAGCCATTACAGCTACAAGGAATTTCTTAAAGAATTAGGCTAGCACAGTGAATGGCTGTCCCTCTCACAATACAGTGATTTAAAAAAATAAATATATAACTAAAATAAAAAAGAGAAAACTAATATATAAAAGGGAGAGTGAAAAAAACAAGACTTGAAACAACTAGAACTAAATTAAGTTCAATGTGCATCGCGAAATCGCCAGAATAAAAGCAGGTGTTATCCAAGAAATTTCACAAGACAGCTCAGGACTCACCACACCAATATGACACATGAGTACAGAACTTTGTGGATTTATGGACAAGGCCTTGCGATAGTGAACTTCTGCCAAGCTGAACTTTTCTTGCTTGAAGTAGATCATTCCAACACCATACCTTTTGAAAATAAAAGAACCATTAATACTAACCTAAAGTACAACACTCAATACATTTAACAGACTTGATTAGACAACCAAATAAATCTATAAAAAAAAGGAAGTTATCGAGTCTATACAACTTCCTTCAATTATTTTGATAAGGACCTAAATACTATTACCACTTTGTATTCAGAGGTTTAATCAAAGATTGTGAATAAAAGGGCAAACATATAAAAACAACTCTAGAAGCAGTAACCAACACAATTACAATTACTGAACCAAGAATTCATTTAACCCCTCCTCTCAACATGTATATATTATATTATAAAATAAAATTCTAAAAAATAAATTAATAATAAAATTCTTAAAAAGTAACAAAATAGAAAAGCACAGTAACACATGACATAAACAAGCAAAAAAAAAGTGAGCTCACCATGCTTTATAATGTCGAGGGTCCAGCCTGATGGCGTTGCGGAAGCAAGTGAGAGCTTTATCAAACTCTTCGAGGTATATGTATTCAAAGGCTAGTAAACTGTATGCATAGACAAAATTGTGGTCCACCTGTTGGAAATAAAAGAAAACAAGACTGAAAACAAAATATAACGTTTTTCAGGCTTTGAGGCAAAAAGCAGTATGAAGTGGTAAGACTACCGGACTCGTAATCCTGAGGTTGCGGGTTCGGGGGTTCAAACAGCGGGCCCGATGCTGTGTCATTGGAAAAGACACTTTACACGAATTTTCCTCACTTCACCCAGGTGGGAATGGGTACCCGGCCATAGACAGGGAAAGATCTGGTCAGTATGTTCGTTTTAGCACCTACAAATGGCCGCTTGCACTATATGCTTCCTAGGAAGTTGAGATTGTTTAAGAATGCTCTCAGGTCAGCTGGGGTATACTTAAAAAAAAAAATATTTGTGAAAAGCACCAGAATATTGGTTTTCTCAAAACATTTTTTTAGCTTTACCCTTCCCTTATTCACACCAGACCTACTTCCACTAAGTTACACCTTTACTTAACAGGGTGACTGCCAACCTGGCTTCTCAATTTTCCAGAGGGGCTCATCCATAGAGCTTGCTGTTGAGTGGGGATTTGCGCTATACAAATGTTATATATTATTAAGTCTTTTTGTCCTGAAACGCTTACTTTACAAAAGCTAGTAGTAGTAATAAAATAACTGCATGCCTATATCGAGTATAGTTATGCTCTACAGCAGCTCTATATGCTTTACAACTTTTTATTATCCAAAAACACCCTAAAACACAACTCACAATTGTAGAGCGGACCCAAAAACGAACTGACTTGAAGCTTGAGGTTCGCAGTCCGTTCGCTGAGAGTCAAATTGTGGGGCGGACCCAAAAAAACTAACTGTCTTGAGGTTCGCAGTTCGTTCTCATGGCCGTCCGTTACCCGCTCGCTCTGACTGAGTCCGCGAGTAACGAACCCGTCTGTCCGCTCGCCCCAACTCTACTGAACACGGTGATCTTTGAATTTTTTAGATATCTCAAGTAGTTTTTGAGATACGTCTATCTTTTTGGAAACATCTATAGCCATACTAAGCCACAGAGGTCATTATTGCACATTTTGTGAGGTAGGGTATGAAAATATAATTTTGAGAAAATGAGCTTTTAAGTTTAACAAACGTGAGAACACATACAAACTTAAAAAACAGATGTTTTGAATGTATTAAAAAGTGGAAAATTCATTTACAAGTTGGCATTCAGTTGATATCAATATCAGGAATGGAATTCAATGGTAAAACATAGTTAGGGAAGAGAAAAGGTGCTTCAAGAATAGATTTTAATACCTTTTAAAAGCGATTTTCATTGTTTGTTTTTATTATACCCTACCTTCAAAATAATTCAAAATATAATATTTAGAAGTCAAATCAATGAAAACCCTTTCAGCACATTGTAAAAAAATTGGTGGATCTATCATTTTTTAATGGAAACACATTCTGGTCAAAAAAGTGATTTTTGTCATTATCAGCCTGTGGCTCGAAAGTCTGGGGCGACTATTGGTACCTTTCTCTAGGCACACACACATGTATAAATATATATATACAAATAAATAAAAATAATATATATTGTGTGTCAACAACATGTCAGTGTGGCGCTGGAGTCTTGTTCTTGAGTGACTTTGGTTTTTCAGTCTGTCCTTACTATTTATATTTTCCCCTTATCATATTTGCCTACATAAACTATATAAAAAAGAATCCTGTTTTGAGCCTGAGAAAGAGCCTAGAACCAGAATATTGACTGTCACGTACCAGTCTGGGTGTCATGATTTATAAAATAAACGTGAAAGACCTATTCAGTGTGAGAGGTGTAAGAGCTCTGAGAGGGCAAGATGCAGTGACATCCCACGGGTCCCATACTTCGCAGCGGTCAGACTTCGAGTGAAAAATCTACACGCGCAGGTCCAATGACCGGTCACAAAGGCAAGCCCAAAAAGACGCTTGTAAACATTTCTTTTCTTTTTTTCACAAGTGAAGCACAGGACAAAACAATATTGATTTATTTTCTTGGCGACACAGCATTTGTAATGCACAACCTACATTTTACAAATGTTGCGTTATCAGGCTATTACTATTACCAGCAGATTTCTGGGTGTTAATGAAAGCGAAAGAAGATCGAGCCTTGTCATCACACATATATACTTCCGTTTGCCGCCACTGCCTTCTATTCGCATGAAACATACTCTCAGACCGAGAAGAGCCGAATGAATATTATCATTATTGCGACCGACAAAAATGAACTACAGGACGTTATCGGATTTGGTTTTATGTATTTTCGCGGGTCTTTCATGGGGCAATTTACAGATTTTCTCAAATTCCTGATTTAAACAAAATTCCCACGGGATTCCAGGGCCCCTCACGATTCCCGGGGCCTGGCAGTCACCCTGTTACTACCAAAAATATCACTGTCAAGCCTTTTGCGCCTCTCAAGCACAAATTCCGAATCATTAGGATCGCTAAGTTCACTTTCTGATGAACTAGACTCATTGAAAACACAAAACATGTTGCTAGGTTTGTTGTGTACACATATTCTCGAAGGCTGCATGGGGGCAGCCATTTTGCAATTTTCCCTAGAACCGACGTTTGTAAGTGATCCTGAGTTACCCTAAAAGTTCGTATTAAAAAAGTTCTACCCCTACTTCCGTGAAACTTTGCATGAAATGAAAGAAATAGATGCACTAGCGCTGACGATCCCCGAGGCGCTCTCCGGATTACGAAAAGTGCAGAAAAATTATAAAGCTGGTCCTCAGGGGGGTCACTGCATCAGGCGTCAAAGGATAACCGGCTAGTTCCGAGAATGTCTCGGGATACGGCGTCAGCGGGTTAAAAATACAAAAAAAACAAGAAAAGTTGCAGTTAGACAAGGAAACTTCCATACCTGAATGGCGCGCTGAAAAAACTTGATAGCCACATCATGCTCCTTCTGTAAGCTGAAGCAGTTGCCGGTAACAAACCAGGCCTCGGCAGACTTTCGGTCCATGGAGGTGAGCTCCTGAGCCAGCAGTGAGAGCTCCACTTCCTTCTGCAAGTGCCACAGCACAGTGCTATAGAACTCCAGACCCTCGATGTGGTAGGGCTCAAGACGTCGAATCTCTTCAAACACTTTGGCAGACTGTGAAACAATGCAGAACATACGTTGGTTAGGGATGAGGAACTGACATCCAAGTACAGTGGGGGGAAAAGAGGGAAAAAAAAAAGAAAGAAAGAAATAAAGAAATCCATGGGTAAAAGGAAGCAGCCAGGCAGGACTCTTTGATGTTACAGTTCCTTTGAGCTTAAATTGTTAGCCTCCCCTTCAAGTCCCGACATTATTAACTATGGCAATTGGAAAACAACATAATTTTATTTTCTGAGAAATAAAACCCTGAATGGATGGTTTGTCTCTTCAGAAATTTTTGTTAAATACTTGTTGAGCATAATATATACGCAAAAGTGGGTAACTGCACATTCTGCATTTCATCTTCAACATTTATTTTTGCAATGCGCAAATATACAAGCATAGCACCAAGCAAAGCCGTGTTACGATATGCTCTGCCACTTACTCGTTGATACTCAGCAAGTTCATAGTAAGCCCGGCCCACATGACACAGCACCCAGCCGGTGTAGTACTGATGTTCTGGCAGGTCACTGAAGTGCTCGATGGCGTTGCGACAGTCGTAGCGAGAGAGCGACAAGTAGGCTTTCCCTATGCTGGTCATCAAACTAAGTACTCCAGCTGTCAATAAAACAAAACACAACAATAATGAAAGAGCGATACCTATAAACAATAATAATGGGAACTTATACAGCACCCAATCCCTAGAAGGCTCTAAGCACTTCCATCAATTTAACTGACAAAGCAAAAGACAGAAAATTCACATTGAGAAACCATTTTAAAAACACACATGCACACAAATCCCAGGCCCACACATTCTTTATGTTCTATCCCTTGAAAAATCAAAGAAGAACAAGTTTCTTAGAATAAATTATGACGTTGTAAAGAGGTACACAACAGGTTAGAAAGATCACCAGAAGTGCTCCAGCGCATACATACCCAGAGACTGTTGTTGCATCTGCACTATCTGATCGACAATCGGGAGTTCTGTAGCCAGCGGGTACTTGGTGTCAACACTCAGCTCACCTGGAACGCAACAAAGACATTCACCAAGCATGGTGAGTCACTCCCCATTACAAGGAAGAGAGGAAAAAACCAAAAACATGGGAGGATGAGTGAAAAAAGAAAAAGAAAACCAAAAAACTAGAAGGGGAGAGGCTGTATGGCACTTTGAGTCACATTATATATATTTATAACCTCAGGACCAGAGGGCCAAGAAATTAATATTTTGTTGAAATAATTCGTTTTTTTTCTCTCCCACAATATTTACCAGGCAAACCAACAGTGAACAACAGCTGACAGTCTACATGACTACTTGACAATTTATTTAATTATAGGACATGTATCAAGAACATATGCATCTAAGGAAAAAAAAAAAGGGCATGCCATCTTATTTTTTACAACTACAGTCGAACCTGCCCTGACGGCCACCTGTACAAACGGTCACTTTCCATTTCCCCCCTTGCATTTTTTCTATATAATTTAACTGTGTAAGACGGGCACCTGTCCAACGCGGCCACGGCCACCATATTTTAACACACAACCCCTATCTCACTGAGCAAAAACACTTGTCTTAGACGGCCACTTTAGTGACTCCATTACGTTTTGTCATAAATTGTGCACTGGCCCCTGGCGTTATGGGCGAGCTGTCATAATTCAATCACCTGTCGTTTTTGTTAGGTAGTCCCTCCAACCGATCATGTTGCATAGGCCCCTCCCACTGTTGACCAATAGGTACGGATTTTCAGCTGCTGGTGAGGTAAGTGTGTGATCCCTCATAATGATACCCCACAAGCTCCGCCCAGAACTCATACACAAGTTGTAACAAAGCAACAATGGACGCCAACATGAACTTGTGACAGAAGCGTCGCTCGTTCTGCGAGTGGTGGCGACCCGTGTGTTTGTTTTAACATGGCACTCGGTTTTCCTCGTCTGATACATTTCGTTTTATTGTCACCCTTGCGCAAAATCAGCAACAAAATAAAAATAACAAACAAAATACAAACCAACAACAATGCAGCTACTTTCGATTGGGACTTCAGATGGGAATGGTTTGTTTTCTTCATCTTGATCAGTCCTGCCTAAGACGGCCACTTTTCTCCTTGATAATGGGTGGCCGTCCTACACAGGTTTGACTGTATTTTGAAATGACTATAACAGTAAGTGTAGAAAACAAAAGCCCTTTATATCAAACAGTTTCCGCAAGCTCAAATAAAAAGCAAAAGGAAACAAAGCCTCTTACAAGTAGCTGCAAAGTCCTGTAATAATTCAGACAGCAGTGTATCAATACCGCAAAACAAAATCACAACAAACTCACCCTTGTTTATCTCATTCAGTTCTTGTTGTGATTTGGTTGTTCGTTTTGAACGCCTGTTCACTCCTTTGGTACTGGAGAAGGTCCCAGGCGTTTGACTTTTGTTGTTTTCCTGAAAATTAAAAATTCATGCCAACCATATGTGGAGAAAAATAAATTTAATAGAGAGATAAGGCTTTTTTGAACATAAGTGACTTTCTGCTGTCCAGTACTCCACAAGATAAGTGCTCACTGACCTCCAGCCTTTGAAGCATAAAGGGACAGTACCAGATGTGTTTTCTTTCTCAAGCCCATATTTGCACAGCTGTATTTCAGCAAGTGCGTGTGTGCGCGCACGCGCGAGTTATCATTATTTTTTGTAAATCCTGAAGTATCACGTCGAGCACTCCTAGTCCAAGTCTCTACCCCCCCCCCATAAGTCCCGCAATACATGAACTTAAGGGGAGATGTACACTCCCGCATAAAATTTCTACACGAATGACTTTTACTCACTTTCATGTAATTGTGCAAGAAGTTCATAGGTAAATAGGATGTACTAAGGGTGAATCTTTTATATTTTTTCTGAACAAATGGGTCCATCTTGGATTTTCAAAACAGTTTCTTAGAGCAGAAGAATTTTATAGTAAATATTGAATTATCAGCCTGAAATTTGGCACACAAGTGCAAACCTATATGGATTGGGGATCTATGTGAGGATTTTGACCTATCTTTAAAACTAAAAAAGTGAGCTCAAAGTCAATGGACCCCCGAGAGTCAGTTGACAAAATTTTGAGGTACATATAGACCTGCATGTGAGCCTCAACCAGATTGTCTGAAAATTTTGCCCAAACCCCCCCCCCCCCCCCCCCCATAAGAGCTTTGTGGGAGCCATAAGGAAGGACTTCCGAGTAACGAGCGACCACCCCAACACAGTAAAGAAGACATCTAACCCTAACCCTACCCCTAGACCTACCCCAAAAAAGAACCTGCAACGGGCCTCATGTAAAAAGGCCAGCACAAGTCCAAAATGGAAAAAAAATTTAAATTAAAAAACCACATTCCAAAACAAACAAGGAGCATAGCATACATCTACATTGCTTATAATAGGGTTTGATACAATAACATCAATAGAATTGGAATATGAATCCTCCATATAGATCTAGTAATCTAAATAAATCTAGATATATATCTTGTAGAACAAGTGAATAGGAAAAGGCCTTGAACTAGATCTAGAATAGAATCTAGATCTAGAAATCCGCATCCGATTCCGAACAGAGGGACTCAGCTGAGTCTAGATTCTAAATAAAAAAATAATTCACGCACCTGATGAAATGCTTTTTACCAACATTAATATTACAGCACAACCTATGATAGGGCTTGACACAATACAATTGGAATATGAATCCTTCATTGAGGTCTATAATGATTTATTTAAATCTAGATTCTATTAGAACAAGTGAGTCGGACTTTAATGAATCCACACAATCTGAACAATTGAATTAGTCAACAAACGAAATTCAAAATGGCCGCTCGAGCACGAAACTGAAAGTAGATAATTTAGGTCGTCGTCCTTTTTCGTATTTGCATTTCTACTCAGGTTCCGACATTATGTCGGAAACACTCAGGTTCCGACATTATGTCGGAAACGCCGACGTCGGCAGTCGGCATGAAAACGAAAGTGCCGACGAGAGAAAAAGGGGGCGCTGGCAGTCGGCCAGGCCTCGCACTACGCACATTGACTGATACAGGTGGGCCCTAGCGATAGCATCGGCCGGCTCGCGGGTCGGGTCATAATTGTCGGATTTCAGACGATTGTCGGCAAACATGCAGGTCTATACATATTACAAAAAATTTGAATATTTCTACAAGTTACCAATATTTTCCAATTCCCTCACATAGATCCCAAGAATAGATCTTAAAGCACCTGTACGCCAAATCTGAAGCTAGCTAGTAGTTTTGAAAACTCCTTGCACCAAGGAGGTCGTGTATGTCAAAAGGTAGATTTTGAGAAAAACAGGATTTTTAAAAAGGATTTAGTGTAATTTGCACTTTTCAAACACCCTTTTATGTCATTTAGGGTGCTTTTTCGATAGTTTCTTCATTGTGACCTGATAGAGCAGATGTTAAAGGATGTTTTTCAGCAAAAAACAAAAGTGGGATAGCTTGAAAAATTTTTTCGATGTCGACTGGGATCGCCGACCCGGGTCTTCCCTTAAGTTGATCCCGTCAATGGACGGTACCCGACACGCAGAATTCCCACGTCGAAGTCATGTCACATGATGTGAATGTGTAATTGAAACAATTTTACTAACGGGCCCAACTAACTGCGCGTTCACACAAAACATTCGGATGAGTGACAGCCGTTCTACTTCTAGGGCAACGACGGCGGCCGACCGACCAAATGTACAGACAAATGTCTTATCCCTCATAATGCGTTCAGACTAAAGCAACGACAACGGCTGTGTGTTAGTCTTGTCAGCACAGTCACGTGTAGTTGTGTAAGGGTTAGAGCGACTGTCGCTCGTCCGAGTGTTTGATGTGAACGTGCAGTTACCAGACCTCGGACAAGGCTTGTTTTGAAAGTAACAGCAGAACTACGAGTATTATCGATTGTTTGTATGTCCCAAAATGTAAGAGTTACCAGGCTATCATCGGAGAATTCTGAGTGCGGGCAAAGATCACACACAAACTTGGGGCGAGTCAACTACTAAATGCGACATCGATGTATTCGGGAAAGAGTGCTCCAAGTCCCTACTGACAAAAAGTTCAATGGGTGCTTCCCGCGATAAAACAGAAGGCAAAGTAAGTTTTTAGAAAAATCTGGCACAACAGCTGACTGGGACAAAAAATCGGGATACACGCGACGAAATCGGGATGCTTGAGATTTAACGCAAAAAAATTGGGATATCCCTACTAAATCGGGATGAGGGGCAGGTCTGTTTGACTACTTTTTCAAAAACAGCGCTTTCAGCATACAATCAAAGAATTCGACACCTTACTTCTCTATTGTACCTGCCTCACATAAAACTGAAAATTTTTTAGGCCTACTTAGTTTGAATCCTGAAGTACAGTACTCATAGCTGCCACTCAGGAATTTCAAAAAAGGAGAAAATTCACGCGAAGGCGTACGCGCGCTCTCCGAAGGCCGGAGAAAAGCCAGTGAGATACAGAGGCAATTTATTGGAACATCTATGTTTTTGGAAGGGAAAAGTGTCAATTTTGTTAACCATACTGAATTAAAATGTATTGGAAAAAGAAAAAAACAACCCAAGACAGTAAGTTGACTAACAAGCATTTGACCCATTTTGGTGACTAAAAATCCTGTGTCTGTTGCCAGCTAGTGTTTCATAAATATTTCTTCCTCTTTAGCAGGGTTGGGTTGATTTAAATCAGTTGATTTTTTAAATTTAAATCAACTTGATTTTTTAAATAAAAATCAGTGGAAAAAAAAATCAGTGATTTAAATCACTTTTTTAAAAATTTATTTTTATTCAGTTTTTACATATTTCAACATTCAGAATTCCCTTCCTTGGTTTCATAAAACAGATATAAGGTTAAGTAGACTAATATAATTCATGTTTAAAAGTCTGCTTTCCCACCTTTCACTGTAAAATAATACAGTATT